CTGTACCTGTGAGTTTGCTTAGTGCAAGGTATCTAATGAGATTAGTACAAGTGAAAGTTGGGGTGTTTGGTGCCTTGTCAACGCCTGATATGTAGAAGTGTTGTGTCAAGAATTCAATTTCATTTTTAGTGCTTGGTTTTTCTAGATCAAATGTGGTTGGTCTATGAAAACTTGCGCAATTATTGTTTATAATGTGTGTGAGTCGTTGTTGTGCTGCTGTCAGTTGTTCATCAGATATGATCATCCTTTCCTGATTGATTATTTGGACTGTTTTGTGTAAGGCCTTCTTGTATTCCCTCCGGATCTCATTTTTGTTGTATGGTTTGAGTGGGATATGGTTGAGTCATTTTTTGACTTGACTTCTCAACTCTAGGTTTCGTATTATGTTGGCATCTAGGGTGATGACATGTGGTTGGATTGCGTCATCTCCGCAACTTTGGATGGACTGCCCGTATATGTGATGTTGGCAGAAGCATGTTTGGTCTTGTTGTGTGTACCATTGAGTGAGTTCGAATTTCTTGAATACAGCCGCGGGTTTGTACAGTTGTTTGGCTAGGTGGTTGTCATATGTACATCCAAAGGTTATATTTTGTAGTCTTTCTGTTGCCTGTAGGTTGTGTTCGTGGAGTATGTTAGTGAACATATTTTTGGTCTTTATTATTTCCATAAGTCTGTTTGCGTAGTGTAGGTGTACGATCTTCTTGCGTGGTTCTGCAGCTTTCCTCCAGCCCCTTCGTCCATCTTCCATGACTTGTAAGTTGTTGACCTGTTTAGGTAACACAGACAGTTACAGTCTTTGGTAAGTATACCATTTTTTTTTGTTCTTATGAGTGTATTTCTCTGCTGATTGCAAAAGTTGTAGGCTTATGTTGGCATCCACAGTAATATTTTGTTTTATTCTCGGGTTGAGGTTTTATGTCTGGGTTTTGCCTTTGTGGTTATATTTATTTGTTATTTATGGTGGAGTTATGAAGGAAGGGTAAGCTTAGAAGGTGGTTGGTATGTCTTTCTTGGGGGTACTCTAAAAAAGGTTATAGTTGCATGGCGTTGGGGGGATCTTCTTTGGGTTTTAGGACTGGAAGTGAGTAGAGGGTATGGAGTAGTAAGATAGGCATGCCGAGACAGTGGTACTTTTGCATCAGTGAGTTAACCTCTTAAAAAAAACAGGGGGAACCAGATTTAAATTCAATATAAATAAGATTTGTATGACCAAGGCATTAAGGGTTCTGCGCTTGGCAGGCCTTCCTGCGTTGTCTGTCGAGAACACAGGCTTTCGTAATCAACTGGGTAACTTATAAAAAAAAAGGTGCTACGGTCGAACCATCTGAGTGGGTCTTCGACCGAGGACCCAGGCTATTTACTCGAGAACCTCAATGGTCTGTAGAAAACAACGGGGGCTCTAGAACCAGCCTGCCTTATAGCGTCACCGATTGAGTACCTGAGCATTCTAGTTTTTGTTGCCAACTACCAAATGCATCCTATAGTCTAGAGGTGGGAGAGTGCTAATCTACCGCTATCGTAGTCATTGCGCAGGTCCCTTCTGATGGACTTGCTGTGAGCGGAGCCTTCGTTGTTGCGTGTGTTGACTTCACTGGTAGTTTCAGTACCAGACCGAGCGAGGGAATCTTCAACATCGAAGTTCTTGAAGATGTGGCCAAATGTGCTGATTGCTCTGACTGGCGTATCCGGAGACGGTGATCCGACGTTGATAGCAGTCTGTCGTCTGGCGCCATCTTCAATGTCTTGGTGTGGGACATGGATGGCTTGGGCTGGTGGTGGTCGTGTATTCACCTCTTGTGTCTGTTGTCTGACAATCAGGTTGCGTGTGGGTAACCAGCTGAGACTGCCCACAAGCCTGATTGCTTAGCCAATCTGCAGGGATGTAGGACGGGAGGAGAGAGTTGTGGGGAGACGTGTGTTTGGCAGTGTGTTTGGTAGCGGGAGGAGTGGTGGTATTGTGGGGTTGTTGTGCACGGGAGCGAGGACGTTGGTGATGAATTGTTGGGCTTGCATGTGCTGGTTGGTGTTTGCTTGGTTTTTGTTCTTGCGTGATCTCGTGTTTGTGCGTCGTGCTGCATTGCGGTTGGTTCTTCGTGGCCCGTTATTTCTTCTTGCTTTTTTCTGTGGGCGTGTGTTCGGGCGCTGTGTTGATGCGTGGTGTGGTTTGGCTGGGGGTTTGGTGCTGCGTTGTGGTCGTGGATTGGCAGGTGCTGCAGGGGGTGGTTTTGCACAGGGGGGGTTGTGCAGGTGCGTGGGTCGCAGTTGCTCTGAGGGGGCGTGATGTAGACTGTGTAACCGGTGCTCGTTGTGGAGTAGCCGCGTGGCTGTGTGGCAGGTTGTTTTGGGCTGGTGTCGTGGTTGTAGGAGTTCTCAAGGTTAAGGCATGCGCAGCAGTTCTGGTGGGTGTGGTCGAGGCGCTGTTACCTGTGACCGGTGTAAATGGCAGCGGTGTATGTCTTGATCTGCTCCTGTGTGCGATGTCTGGTTCTACTGCCATGGCGCCTCTTCTGCTGCCTCCGGCTGTTGCCGGTGTCTTGACAGGGGCGTCGGGGAACATGATGCCCGCGAATCTGTTCGCAAATGGCACATTCTTCAAAGCTGGATGGTCGGTAAGTCCTTCGACGGTGGTCATGTTGTCATCGATGACTCTGTCGAGCAGATCTCTCATGATCTGCCTCATGTGCAGGAAGGTGACCTGTGCCAGGACCGGTCCCTTCCATTCCGTCTCCAGTTTCTGCTGGAAATCAAGCATCCGTGTAACATTTGTTGGTGCCACAGGGTCGAAGAAGTCTAAATTGGCGATGTAATACCATATCATGTGGTCAAACCAAGTGATGGTCTTGCCACAGTTCTTCTCACAGGTGCACTTGAGATATGGTCGGCCGATGTTCCACATTTTCTTGACCTCCTCTAATGTCTGCGGGATCCTGGCGAAGCCTTTCTGAGTAAGGATAGGCTTGGAGACTGCGCACTTTGTTCTGTCTAGAATGGCCAGTATGGGGAAATCTCCATCAAAGGGAGGTCTGTTGGTTGGATAATGCAGTGAGAAGTTATGTGCTGCATGCTTGCATGCCTCAATATCAGCATCAGACAGATTGGAAAGTGTCATATATCCTTCAATCGAGATGGGTGTGGTGTAGTTGAAGGAATCTAGGTGCCATAGCTTGTGCGCAACGTGCTTGCTGTTCTTTTCTACCCAGGTATCGGAGGCAATCGGTAGAAAATGGCTATCTTGTGCGAACTTGTGGGCTTTGCCTGCAGGATCTATCGTGGTGAAGGCATTGGCAGTCATAGAGTTCAATCTTCTCTCGTGTTGTTTCTCCAAATAGTCTATCTCAGCCTGTGTCTGTCCAATTCGTTGTCTACGTGCCTGTCTCCTGACATTCACCTCAGTTGAAAAATATCAATGGCTCCAACATCATTCAGGTGATCTGAGCAGTAACCAAACTTATCTAACATTGCCTTCTCTCCTTTGGCAATGACTCTGCTAAGTTCCCTATTCTGTATCCTATTCATACTGAGAACAACGGCCACATTGAGCGCATATGCTTCAATGAGTCGGTGCATCTTCTCTGGCTCTGTTTCATACTTAGCGTTGATGATAGCCCAGTCACTGAAAGTGAGTGTCTCAATCAGGCTGGTTGGTTGTGCTGATGCGTGGAATCGATGAAGGATGTTTTGCGGGAGTGTCATCATAATCAGTTGCACATGGACAATCGGTGGTTGCAAGCTGGCGAACGGAGCAACCATAGGTGCCAGATCCGCATGCCACCCGCGGTTGATGATCTCTTGATCTTGCACATGTCAACATAGGTGCCGTTGTATGGTTAGCTGTGGTTAGTTGTGCCTTGCGAGTATTAGTAGTTAGGAGTGTTGGTCTGTGTTGTAGGGGTTCTTTTTTGGAAAAAAAATTTAGACTCACCATTATGTGGGGCCACAGTTTCCGTCTGGTTTCTTCAGACTTCTCAATTACGCCCTACAAGGATCCGGGGGAATCACAATTAGTTTGCTTTGTTATTCTCAAATCGGAGGTCTGGTTATATACTATTAGAGGTTTAGGAGGGTTTAAGGAGGGTTTTACTATCCCATGGGTAGGAAAACCTAGGGGGGGGGGGGGTTCGCTGTTTTTCAGAGCGACGATATTCAAGTACTTTAATCAGGGAATTCTCATTCTCTTTTGTATCGTATCAGTGTATTAGAAGAGGCTAGGGGAAGAAAGGAAAACAATTAAAGAAATAAATTAAGTTAACTTTTTACTTTTTTGTCTAAATGCGGCCTCCTGTCCTTTGTGTGTCTGTTATTTTCGGGGGTACATATATGGGGTTGGGTGTCTGTTGATTAAGCAGTGTCTGTTTTTGTGTGAGGGTAAGGCTTGTATGGATCTGTTTTGTTTATTATAATTTTGACCTGGGTATAAATCGGTGACGGTCGGTTTATTTGACACTGTTATTTTTATGGAGGGTCGCGTCTCTTCGGGCAGTCGTGTCCAGTTTATCTGTGCTTGTTTAGTTGCGTCTACCTGTCCTTTCTGTATTTGTTCTTTTTTTGGGGGGGGTCCCGATGGAGGGTTGGGTGTGTCTTTATTAAGCAGTGTTAGCTTTTTTTGATTGTGTGGGTGGGGTATGGGGGTTGTATGGATCTGTTTTACTTATCATAATTTCGAAAGAGTGGTGAGTGCTCTATGATTTGTTGGTTGTGGGGGTTCTTTCTGTTTTTTTTTTTTGGTTTTACTTTTTGTAAAGGATTCAACCGACAGTCAGGTATTTGTTATTTTCATGGATGGTCGCGTGACTTCGCGCGTTCGTGTCTCGTGGGTAGTGAAGGTATGTTTTTATACCTCTTGAGATATGTCGTTTGTAATTCTGACCTGGCAGTTGTCACATCCAGATCTTGGTTAGGTGGGGACGCATCTGTTATTATCTTAATTTAAATATTGATATCATCTTCCCGTTTGTTATGTAGCGTTCTACTATACAAGTAGGTGATCCCTATAGCGTAGGCTAAGGGTGCTGGGGTGGCAGTGCTTTGGCGTTTGTGCACTAGCTGGAGTGTGTTGAGGGAGATCGTGGAATCGTTGTTGTCACGTGCTTATTTTTCTGTGTAGCCTTGTTCGGGTTTTAGTTCGCTATGGCAGTTTCTCTAGTTGCGTGGGGCCATGTTGGTGGTCGCGTAGTCATGGCTTTCGAGATGCGTGATCTCCGAGACTTCCGCATGGGTCGTGAGTTTGAGTTCACAGGAGCAGTTTCTCGGCACGAGATTTGCCATTACGAGATCGATGCAGGGGGGCAGTTGTCCTTACGTCTGGTGGTTGGGTTGGGCTATGATGAGGAGTATCTGCGTGACGTCATTGTGTATGTGACGAAGGTGCACGATGATGTTCCAGACCGTCACGTTGGTGTAGGCGAGGACATCGTCGAGTGTATGGTGTGTTTGGTTACTACGGCAATACTCTCAGAACATGGTGATTACCTATCTTCAATAGTGGAATGGGAAGCAATTCTGGATGCGCCATTGGCAGGCCGTGCCTATATGCATGGCGACCTTCAATTGTAAACCGAGGTGCATAAACCAGTGCTATAGGTGGTCTAGATGGTCGAGTAGCATCTGTGGTGTATGTGACGAAGGTGCACGATGATGTTCAAGACCGTCACGTTGGTGTAGGCGAGGTCATCGTCGAGTGTATTTTGCGTCTGGTTATTGCGGCAATACTCTCAGAACATGGTGATTGCCTATCTTCAATAGTGGAATGGGAAGCAATTCTGGATGCGTCGTTGGCAGGTCGTGCCTATATGCGTGGTGACCTTCAATTGTAAGCCGAGGTGCATAATCCAGTGCTAAAGTGGTCTACATGGTCGAGTAGCATCTATGGCGTTATGGTGATGGACTTGCCTTTTATCGGCAGTAGCGTTATCGTTGGGTTGTTATATCTTGCGCAGTGTTTGCGACGAGAATCTTTAGCTGATTGGTTGTGTGATCGTTTTAGCATTCATGGGTTTGTCACCAACGGATTTTGCGAGTTCGCAAGAGGTTTTTTTTTAAGAGATGGTGTGTGAGTCGTTTGTTTTCTTACCTTCTCTTCTGCGCGTGTCTCCTGTAAGGAGCGCTCGTAGCTATCATGCTAATCGATTGTTTTTTTTGGTGTATGCGGCGTTATGAATCCAGATTTTGTTGTTCGAGGCGAACTAGTGTACGTTTGTACATGCTGACGGGTTTGTGCAGTGTTTTCAGGAAGGCTGACTAAAAAAAGTAGCGTATGATGACGGTTGTATGTAATAGTAGTCTCGAGAATTTTGTATTCTATGTGTGTGTGATGACGATACTTATTATCAAGGCGCACACAAGATGTTAATGCTTGTGTACTTCATGTATTTTTCCTATGGAATCAATGAAATACGACGTGTTAAGTTATGTTCTTCCTCTTGTTAATTACGTGATGTCCCTGTGACGAACGTGGTTCTTCACATGAATTTCTATTTTTCGAAGCCTAACTCATCTAGGCAATAGGAGCTACTGAAATTAACTAAGTGAGTACTCACATTTCGTAGAGAAAACCAGATGTAGGTTCGCGACGGTTTCCCACCGTCCAGCAAGGGACACGCACTATTGCTATATTTCTATGAATTTTGCAACAATAACTATTTGCCAATTATTAGGACTGTCTCTTATACACATCTAGATGTGTATAAGAGACAGAGACTATAATGAATACATACTATAATAAATATATAATTAAAGAAATTTATAATTAATAGTAAAATTAATAGATACTAATAAATATAATGACAGACTATGGTCCCCGGAATGAGTTCGTCATTCCATGTGTCTTTCATGCATGCTCCAAAAATTGATGTCGTACGCAAAGGTAGCGTTAGGTATATGTACTACTAACCGATAATGAAGTATGAATGAAGGACAAGTTCATTAGTTATGCATCATATCCCTCAAGACACAAGTTCATAAAAAACTCGCTTGGTACCGATGCGCCAACAATTCAAAGACAATGACATTCACTCAACAATTTTTTACAAATGCTTAGAGTTCTTACAACAAAGTTAAAAAACTTTTTTAATTGACATCCCCTATTTGTTTGGTTGTCCAATACATAACTCTATACGTATTACTTTTTAATAATGAAGGAAGAGCGAACAATTATGCTAACAATAATTGCACACATGCTGCCATACGTGCCAACGCTGTCTTGTGCATTTACCTCCGTGTATTCGTCTAAATATATGATCTACTATCATTGGTCCTTCGCAAGTGAGCTATCGAACAAGTAAGGAAGAATATTCAATATTGTAGCGCAAGCTATTACCCTTCTTTTTACAATAGTTCCGGTTAGTCATGGGTATGTGGAAAGTCTGCCGGAAGTAGGTGGGGCAACTGTACCTTTTGTTGGTATATTGTATTTATTTAGGATTTAATGACTAAGTGGTTGGTGTGAGTTTATGGGTGTCTGGGTACATGGGTGTGGATACTGGATTATAGTCGCCCGGGGCAGAGGCGGGGGTGGTGGTGGGGAGTTTGCTATGGGTGCGTTCGTGTCAGGTGAGTTATATTAGGAATGAGGAATTTGCGGGTGGTGTGAGTTTATAGGTGTCTGGGAAATCCGAGGCTATGGTTGATTAGGGCGGAGGGGGGGTAGTGGTGATATTGATTGGCGTGCATCGTAGCAGGGCGAGGGTGTTTAATCAGGATTACAAGTCTAAAGGTAGGTGTGGGTTTATAGGTGTCAAGGTAAGGAAATATAATTACAGGGCTATGGTTGAGTGAGGTGGAGGAGGGGTTGACGGTGTGGAGGTTGAAAGGAGTATGTCGTGGATAGGTGGGTAATTATTGTGGATTGCGTAAGCATTTCGACCGTGTATCACAGGATCAATCATTACAAGTTAGCAGATCCAAGCATGTCGTGTCAGGTGCAACGCTATTATACTTATACTGTCAGGTGGGGAATCTACCCACACCATTGTATCAGGGCTCAAAAGCCAGTGTGTGTTTCGTGTGACAAATTGCAAAGCAATTTAACAACCTGGCTTAGTCAGGAACAGTATTGAAAATAATAGCATACCATTGTCATGATTGAGCAAAGTTTCCTGCTATTCCATTGCATGGGTCACCTTCGTACACCTATAGCCATAGCCAGCCATTTCCTATTTTCACGTTGCCATTAACCACTAAGCATACATGGGGGGCGAAGAAAGGCGGAGTGGGGAAGGGAGGAAAAGGCGAGGGCAGGAAGAGGAGAAGGGGTTTGGAGCAGATGACACTTCTTCGACAGGACCGATTTCAAGATTCGAAGAAGGAGGGTGGCGCATCCCTTAAGTGCTTTTCGCCGTTCGCGCCAAACGGCTCATCAGAGGGAATGATGGGCTATAATCCTAGAGTGGCCTTCTACATCACTTGAACCAATTACCAGTTGAGTAGGGGCGACTCTAGTAGCCTATGCGAGATTAAAAGGCGAAAGTTTAGAGAGGGGGTAGGGATCCGCTGTGAATCTAGGTGGCCTTCTACATCTGCTGGACCAATTACCAGCATGAGTAGGGGCGACTTAGGTAGCGTTAGGACAAGAGAGATAGGGCAAGGTGCAGTAGGATGGCAGTGTGGGAGGTAGATGAGGGTGTTGGGATATTTTGAGAAGTGTGTACTATAATGCAGGGTCAAGGGGGTTGCGGGGTAAGGCATCCGAGGGTTATGGGGGTTGGAGGGAGGTGAGTGATGGTTACCGCGTGTGCATTGATGTCTGTGTTAGTGACATGTCCGTCTGAGGCGATTGTTGACATTGTAAAAAAAGGTTGGGCTGGTTCGCTATCCTGCAGTTAATGTCTAACCGCGGGTTCGGAGCGCAGCGCCAAGCCAAGGTTCTACCTTGGACACGTCGTGTGCCCGGGGTTTTGCCTTGCTTGGTAGCAGTGATGAATGCGGTGCAAGGAAGAAGTTTGTGCTAGGTCTGCCGCAGCTATCTCAGAGCGAGGTACCAGTATCTTGCAACCTTGCTAGTCTCGCGAGAGCTTGTCGAGGCATAGACACGCCGTACGACTGAGGAGGGATTTTGCGCTCTCACCATGTATAAATGCAGGCGGTGTGTGTTTGTGTTGGTTTGCCGGGTGGTGTTGGTTGTGCGTGGTGTTCTACACGTTTTTACTGTTCGTGCATAATTATTTTTAATATTTTTTTGGTGTCCAGGGGGTGTTTTGTGCTATAGGTCGCGTATGTGGTGCGCTAGGCATATGTTTTGCCTGGGAGGGTTGGGGTTAGTGTGTGTATTTTTGTGATTATAGCTTAGATATGGGGTCTGTAGAAGATGGTCTGTGTACCATTGGCTAGGCGGGAATTCTTTTTTGTCTGTTAGTGTCTTCGATCGTTATATTTTTTATATTATTACACACGGTCTATGATTTTATAACGTTTTGGTGGGTTGTCTTTTTGTTTTTAGTTCAGGTCATGGCGTCGTCTGTTGTTTTTCAAGTCTACCGTTAGTGTGTGCTCGTGCTAGTAGTTTGTTTTTTTTAGAAGATTTTGTCGTATATGGGTTTCTATGTTTCGTTTTTGTGCGGGGGTGTACTGGTGTATGATTCAGCTTTAGTGCTGGTATGCTTACTTGTGGTTATTTTGTGGCGACGGGGTGGTGTTGGCTTGTTGTGGTGTTCTACACGTTTTTACTGTTCGTGCATAATTATTTTTAATATTTTTTTGGGTGTCTGTAGGGTGTTTTGTGCTATAGGTCGCGGGTGTGGTGCGCTAGGCATATGTTCTGCCTGGGAGGGTTGGGGTTAGTGTGTGTATTTTTGTGATTATAGCTCAGATATGGGGTCTGTAGTAGATGGTCTGCGTACCTTTGGCTAGGCGGGAATTTTTTTTTGTCTGTTAGTGTCTTTGATCGTTTTATTTTATTATATTATTACGGACGGTCTACGATTTTTTAACGTTTTGGCGGGTTGTCTTTTTGTTTTTAGTTCAAGTCATGGCGTCGTCTGTTGTTTTTCAAGTCTACCGTTAATGTGTGCTCGTGTTAGTAGTTTGTTTTTTTTGGAAGATTTTGTCGTATATGGGTTTCTATGTTTCGTTTTTGTGTGGGGGTGTACTGGTGTATGATTCAGCTTTAGTGCCAATGTGCTTACTTGTGGTTATTTTGTAGATGACGGGTTCTCATTTCTCGTTTCTTTATTGGGTCGTATGCGGTTTTTTTTTTAAATTTTATGGGGGGGTGTTTTTTTTTTTATATAGAGGCCTGTATTTTTTCGTGGGATTCTGTCTTATTCGTGGTGTTTTTGTGCTTGTGTTAGTGTGTCTTTCAGGCCCTAAGGGTGTGCGTTCGTGTGCGTGCGCGGGTGTCTGTTCATCTTTCTTAGTTTATTTTGTGTATTTGTTTATTTTATAAAGGTCCGTATGTGTAAGTTTCGCGTGTATGTATGTGTGTTTCGAGTTGGTGTGTGCATGTAATATCTTATTTACTCTATTTTATGGGCCTAAATGTATGACTATATGCATATGTGCGTGTTTGTAAGTGTGTGTTTATTCTATTCATTGTGGGTCTGTATATACATGTATATGTGTATGTGTGTATGTATTTTTTTCTAAAAACATAATAATAATAATAATAATAATAATAATAATAATAATAATTTCTTATAGGTTGTATGTGTATGAGTATATGTGTATGTGTGTGTGTGTGTGTGTGTGCGCACGTCTGTGTGTGTGGGTGTG